CTGCGGGGGGCCGCGGGGACGGCGTCCCAGGACCGAGCCGCCAGATCGCATCGGACGGGCAGAGGGAAGTCAAACATATCGAGATTGCGAGGCGGGGACCCCCCGAGATGGCAGGAACAACGAACCCGCTTCGCGTTTGACCGCCCTCGCTTCCAAAAGGGGACGACGGGATACCGAATCACGCGCTGGGTGGCACGCAATGGTCAGGCTGCTCGACAAGAAAGCGCGTGGTATGACGTGGCCTCGCCTGGAAGCCGGCAGATCGGCCCGGGCTGGCATGAGAACGTCCGGCATCGAGAGTGTGAGGCGGGGATGTGCTCGGGGGCGGTCTACGACCCAGACACCCTCGCGCGGTGACACAAATCACGGAAGGGGCCCTGGGACACACAAATAAATACACACAAATAACAGGATTCCCATATTTTCTAATATTTTCTGGGTTTTTGTCTTCCCCCCCACTTCCCATATCTTCCTATATTTTCTGGGTAATCGACGATTCATTGTGTCTGTGTGTTGTTTCCCCTCCTGAATCACGGCGAAGGTTCTCGTTGACGTTTCCAGCCTCGGGGGACCCTCGCCGGCCTCGGGGCCCTCACAGGACAACTCGGGAGGAGCACCCAGCTCCCGTGCAGGGGTGCCTGCCCCTGGGGGGGTCGTGAGCAGATCATAGCGTCGGGGGTATGGGAAAGAGAGCGTCCAAGAGGAGGGTTCGCAGATCATGGCCCGAGGCACGTGCGCGGCCCGTGCGTGGGCAAAGGAGCGCATGGAGAGAAGAGGAGGGTGCCTCACGGGAGGCGTCGTGGCCCTGGCCATGAGACCCCACCCCCTGGTCATCACACCCGTCTTGGCCGCCCCCGATATGCCCGTGTTCACCGCCTGGGGAAGCGTCGTCCTAAGCCCCCAGCGGGCGGTGGACATGGATGTGGTGCGACCCCAGCGGCAGCGAGCATATCCACGTCCACATCCTGCTGAGGCCCCCGAAGATGGATCCCCCAGGCCCCCAGAGGTGCTTCTGGATAACCCACCTCATCTGAGAGGGGGCGGACGGAGGCATGGCGCGCACACGCGCGCGCCACTCCTCCGCACCGCCCCCCCCCCTACGCGGAGGCCACCCGGATGGATGGCGCTCGAGCAGATCGGGTCGGAGGGTCGCGCCGACGTTGCTGGGGTGTAGAAACTGGGCTCTGCGTCGAACCTCATCGCCAACGCCTTGGCGATGCGGCGCGTTCCTCTGGCCCCATCAATTGGGGGCCTGGAAATGGGCACCAACACCAAAACAGGGGGGTGTCTCCACGGGGGGAAGCTGATCCTGGATTTCGGTGCTGGTGGTAAATTTTGGTCACCTTGGAAACCAGAATATTGCCACCATCACCGAGATCGGGATCTTCTTCCCTCGGTGCAGGCACACCGCAGATCTTGGTGTTGGTGTCAACCTCCAGGCCTGCGAATCAAAGGGAAAGCAGAAGGTGCCGATACCGCTGCTCCCCTGCTCTCCTTCGCAGCTCGGCCCGGCCCTCCGCAGCGGCCGCTGGTGGCGATCCGGGCACCCTTTGAAGGCCCTTGGACGGGGCGCAGCCGGTGAGAGTAAAGTCGGGCCTGTCCCCCTACAGGGCGACTCTCAACGAAAAATAAAACATACACCAAAAATAATCAGAACATAATCCAAACATAGCCTGGGGACTCTATTTTTTGTCGTATGTGTTTGACCTTTTTGGGGGTATTTGTGGTGTATTTTCCATTCACTGTTCGTCGACAATCCCCCTGTATGGGGGGCACGCCCGACATAAATCTATCCATATCCACCGCCTGGGAACCGACGCCCTGGTGCCCCAGCGGGCGGTGGATATGGATGTGTTCTGGCCTGCGGGGGGCCAAACCTGTCCATCTGCACCGCCTGTGGAGGTCCGCGCGGATCAAGCCCCCAGGCGGCGGTGATGGCTAAGCCCCCGCCGCGGGTGCACGCAACAACTTGCAAGCGCGTTCGAACGCGCCCCCTGGGGCTGCACACTTTTTTTTTTACGGGGGCGAGGAAGCCCAGTGGCACGGAGAAGGGGGAGGGGGAGCTAGGCAGAGACGGCGGGTGAGGAGCACGCGCGCTTCGGCGAATCCCCCTGGGGCTACACGCAGCATTACACCAGAGAGGAACCCCCATCAGTGGATAGTTTTCGCTGAGGGGATCCACCGGGGACCCGGGAGCCCAGGAACCCAAAACCCACCGAAATCGGCCCGGAACCAATAACCGGGAACCAACCGGGAGCCCGGGAACCCAGCCTGTTACCAAGATCGGCGGGAAACGTTCGCCAAATCTTCTCCCACTTCTGCTAGGACCCCTTTTCAGCGCAAGCGCTGAATGGGGAAACCTGCAGGCACGTTCGAACACGCCCCGAAGGACCCCGTCCGTTTGGAATCCCGAAACCGTGCGGTGACAGACCGTGCGGTGACCTCGGAACCCCAGGAGACCTCGCCACACGATCCGTCACCGCACGGTCCTGGGACCCTGGAACCGCCTGTCGCCCGAGACGCCCTCGGAGAGGGACTCGAGTCCCAGGCCGCGCGGTGACCCCGAATCCCCACCGACTCACCGCACGGTGTTGAGCAGGGACCGACCGTCCCGGTATTTTTGTAGTCCTACCACGAAATGTTCTTAGAACCCAAAGACGTTCTGAGAACAAAAACGAGATTCTTCGAACTCCAAGCCTCATATGTCAAAACGAGACGGCCCCAGCCAGACATGTTCTAAGGACATTTCGTGGAGACCACACGAAGTTCTTAGAACATTCTTTGGTATGGCCTTAGCCGAACCAGGACGCTTTCGGGAGCGGCCAAGAGGGGGGTGTCCAAGAGGGGGGGGGGCAAATCATGACCGGCGGCACGTGCGCGGCCTAGCGGGGGGGCCAGGGACGTAATGAAATAAGAAGAGGCGCCATGAGAGCTGAGGAAATATCATGGCCACCGCCATGATATCCCCCCCCCAGTCATCACCCCCCCTCTTTGCCGCCCCCGAACCCTGACCCCCGACGTCGTGATTTTTTCATGACGTCGCCCCCCAGAGGTCTGGACCCCTTCCCCGGGACCGGTTTTTCGCCCTGCATCGTTTTTTGACGGTCCCGAGGCCCGGGAAGGGCCCCAAGAGGGCGAAAAGAGCGAACAACCTTCCGTCGTGATTTTTTCACGACGCGAGGGGGTCTGGGAAGTCCGCTCGGACCCCCTCTGCAAGGGCCGGGGCTTCGGCGCCGGCAGGGGAGGAGGAGGAGGAGGAGGAGAAGGTGGGGGAGGAGCAGGAGGAGCAGGATGATCCACCCCGCGCTCTGTTTCTCAGATTCCAAGTGTCTGATGCCAGAGCCGTCTGGAGTCTGACTGCACACGAGCGTGGGTAAGAAGATGCACGGCGGCTCATATCTCACCCGATATGAAGGAATGAAAAATTGGCTTGGGTTAGGCCACGGGGAGCCGAAAAACTAATTACGAGCGCGCATATATCATTCACGTACAACTCCCATGATCCCCCCCGCGCTCTGTTTCTCAGTTTCCTAGTGTCTGATGCCAGAGCCGTCTGGAGTCTGACTGCACACGAGCGTCTGTAAGAAGATGCGCGGCGGCTCATATCTCACCCATATCACCCATAACATGATGTGTCACCTATTCTGCTGTGTTGGGAGACGTAGAACACGCTTTGCACGGGCACTGCAAGGGAGCGAAGGCGGCGGCTGCATTGCGCGGCCTCTAAGAGTCGAGTTCTTCAGCGTGTTCAACTGCTCCTCCAACCAGCAGCGCAGCGCCAATAGAAGCCGAGCGTAGTCTTTCATCATCATGCATGACTTCTTGCAGCGCTGCACATTTTTGGTAGACATCCAACCACCACGACGTCGCACAGAGTAACGGTTGCGATGCTTTTGATATGTGTCCAGGAAGCACCAGCATGGCGTACCTGGTAAGGCTCAATGTCTTGGCCGAGCAGTCGGCCGTGCTTGCAAATTCCGCACTTTCTCGATAAGTAAACTGCCACAAGCTGTCATCTGTCACGACGGCTAGAATCTGAAGAAATTCGGCCATACAGTCAAAACCCTGAGTCTTCCACAAGATGGAATCGTTTTGGTCCCCAACCCTTCGAGACCTGGTGGAGGTCTGACCTGTGCGCAGGCCCGCGCCACATAGCGTCGACTTTCATGGTCGGCGGGGCAGGGCCGCCGAAGCGAGGCTGGAAGAACAAAATGGCCGCGAACAGCTTCTGGCCGATGCCCGCGTCGTAGCCCAGCACATACCTGGAAGTCGACAGTGGCCACGTTGAAGTCCTGCACTTTGTCGGTGTCTAGCCTGCACTCGTCGGCGCATGCGGCCAGGCTTTGATATGACTTTCGATGTTGTGCCCAGGTGCGCTCCCCTGCCGAGGTTCGTTCTAGCACCGAAACGTGTTGCATACCTGGCTCATGTGCCATCCTCGCATGGTGGGCCTCGCGCTTCAGCATGCGCTCCTGCACGAGCGGGTTGCCATCCTCCTCCGAGGTCGTGCCGTCCGAATCTCCCCTCCCTCTCCGCCTCGTCCAACAGTGCTGGCATGGGGGGGCGGTCGCGACCCCGTGGTCGCCTCTTTTGTAGTGGCAACGGGTCCGTCCGCCAACGAGGCGCCCGAACTTCCCTCTCTTCCGTCGGCGCTGCTCTCCTCGCCTTCCTCACCAAGGACATGACGAGCCCAATCCAATACACAAGTAGAGCATTGTGGAACTTCATGTTTGGCCGGAGCGGCTACGGAGCCCTGCTGATCTCGAGCGAGACGATATATAGCAGGCGTGACGATCAACTCGACTGCATCCCCTCGTCGCAGACCAGGGCCCCTTAAAGGCTTGCAGGAGCTGTTGAATTCACTCGGGGCCCACCTGAATCCCACGAAGAGGTTACGGGACAACGACAGCGCCGACGCTCGCCGAACCTGGACCAGAAGAGGAAAAGCACGGGCCCTGGATCTCGCAAAGCTGAGCGTGACACCGAGGTCATCCCCAAGA